TAGACGAAACTCCGGTGTCGGGATGTACTTGTTTCAACACTTTGTAGATGTAGATTGCGTACGATTCTTTCCTCTTGGGCTTGCGCTTCTTGTCGGACTTGGCGATGTTCTTTTGTGCCTTGCCGGACGACTTCTTCATTGCTTTACCCGCCGATTTTCCTCCTGGAGCCATTTCGAATAGTTGTATCTAGACTTGTTGACGACTGAAACGTTGTGAACTGGGTGATAATTTTTGTACTTACTTACTTGGTAGGACGGCTTTACGCCTATATACTATACCAGGCTTTTTGCCTTTGCTAGTAGCTGGATGTCGTAGTGGAATTTGTAACTGAGGATTCTTTTTAATTTTTGTTATATATTTAACTTTCTGCCCACAGTTTTACTCTAGGCCGTTGTTTGTGTCTAGGGGCATGGGATGGGTGGGAAATCTGACCAATATTCCTTATATGATTGTATTGAGATGTTGAGATTCGGTGGAAGGTTGCTAAGGCATTCTTTTTGGTTAAGTGCTTGATAGGGATGAGACCGGTTGTGTGAAGAAGTACAGAGTTTTTTACGATGGACGGTTGACCTAATATTACTCTGATACTAATTGTCTGTACTGCTTCAATTTTCCTCCATGTAGATTTACTGATGAAGGGTGCCCATGCTTCACCGGCATAAGTTAAGATAGGGATAATGTACATTTTGAAAAGGTTTAGTTTGGTTCTGGTGGGGATTGGGCTTTTTTTGGTTAAAACTGAGTATAGAAGGCCGCGAATTTGAGTAGCTTTTTTGACAATGTTTGATGCGTGAGTAGAAAAGTTTAGTTTGTGGTCAATTGTTACTCCTAGATATTTAACGCTCCTGGACCAAGGGATTTGAATGTTATTTATTTGGATATTTTTGATATTTGTAGTCTTTGTACGGCCGAACAGGATTGCTGTGGTTTTGGATTCATTTATACGAAGTCGCCATTTTTTGAACCAGTCTGATGCCAAGTTTATTTGTTTTTGAAGCTGTAAAGATGCAAAACGAGCATTGTGGTTTGCACAATAAAACATTGTGTCATCCGCAAATAGAGAGACTCGAGAATTAATATTCGTAGGTAGGTCATTTGTATAAATATTAAAGAGCGTAGGAGAAAGACAAGAACCTTGTGGCACGCCCGCGTTAGCCTTTCTTAGTGACGAGTTTTGGTTTTCAATTTTGACAGAAAAGGTACGTTCCGAGAGGAAAGAATCAGTAATTTTTATAAGTTGTAGAGGGATATTCATGGACATCATCTTGTGGAGAAGTCCGTCATGCCAGACACTATCAAACGCTTTTTCGACGTCAAGGAAGATGGCAGCTGTTTGGATACCTTGGTTCAGATTTACGCTGATTTGGTCTATTAGTTTGGTCAGTTGGAGGACAGTGGAGTGATTTTGACGGAAGGCGAACTGTTCGTCTCTTATTTTGTCAGCTAGATATTTTTGGAGGTGTTGAAGGATTAAACGTTCGTATATTTTTGAGAGGGAGGAGAGAAGAGCTATAGGCCTATAATTTTCTGGTAGTTGAAGATTTTTGCCAGGTTTTGGAATAGAAATTATGGACGACATTTTCCATATGCTTGGAAAGTAACACAGATTAAAGCAACCGTTTAATATTTTAGTTAAATCTAGTAATTTGTTCTTGGGTAGGAATTTAAGTGCAGTGTTTGTGATTTGGTCTCTGCCAGGGGCTTTATTCTTTGCTAGCTTGGATATAAGTTTTTGGATTGTTCCTGGTGTGGTGAAGAGATTGGGTTTTTGTAACACTGAGCCTCTGATTGTCGTAATGCTCTCAGTTACTTCTGGGAGATTTGGTCCTTGAAAAGTAGAGAACTGTCGTTCCAGGGAGTCTGCAATAATCTCTGTTTTTTCCTCCGCGGAGTAGGATAAACCATTTGGACCAAGTAGTGGGTGAGTGGCTGGTCTTTTTTTTAGTAAACTTCTATTTAATTTATAAATGGAATTTTCACTTTGGTTTAGGGAAGTTAGGTATTTGTCCCATTCATCTTCTCTGTGGGTTTGGAGCATTAACCGTATGAGGTTTATTTTGGCATTTAGAGATCTTTTAATCAGGGGGTCTCGGGTTTGTTGCCAATCTCGGCGGATTCGGTTTTTAGCGTTTATTTCTTGCTGTATTTCTGCGGGGATGACCGGGCGGCGACCGTTTTTGATACGAAGATACGAGCTATTATCAAGAGCTGAATGGATAGAATTGGTGAATGCTTGAATACTGTTGTCAATGTTTTGCTTGGAGTTAATAAGAAGAGTTTTGCTAGGTTTTTCTGCACTAAGTGTGTGATAAAATTTATCCCAGTTGATTAGGGAGTTTGGAGTAGGAGGGGAGACTGTGATTGGTGAGTCAGAGAATTCAAGTAATATTGGATTGTGATCTGAAGATAACTCGTTCAAGTTTGTGACGTGTACTAGAAGATGAGTGCGGATTATAGCAATATATAATACGTCAGGTCTATATTTTTTACAGCTTGGAAAGTGTGTGGGGGTGTCAGGAGCGATGATAGAGTAGTCATTTTTCAGAAGGTGGTTGTAGAGTATTAGCCCAGCAGAGTTTGTTCTGCAGCTGTTCCAGAGTGGGTGTTTTGAGTTTAGGTCACCAGCAATAATAAAATTATCTGCACTATTGATGAGAAGGTCAAGGTCAGATGTAATTAAGGTTGATGATGGAGGTTTGTAGACTGAAGAGATGAGGGTGGTTTTGTTGTTAATTTTAATTAAAATAGATGTAGACTGAAGTTTAGTATTTATATTGGTTGGTTGATGAACTATTTTACGATGAACTAGGATAGCTGTACCGCCATGGGCTGGAGAACCACGGATTGGCGGTAGGTCGTTCCTATATGTGATAAAATTAGGGATCTTGAGACTTAGATTGGGTTTGAGATGAGTTTCATTTAGAAGTATGATATCGGGTTTATTAGTGGAAATGAATGCACTAAGTTCATTAATTCTTCTTGTAATGCCGTTTGCGTTCCAATGTACAACTTTTAGATTTGAAATCATTGTTGGTTTGCAAATAGGGTTATAAAGGATTTTATAGTAGATATTAACATGGATTTGGGATCGTCCGATGTAGACAGAACTGAGAGGAGATCAGTTAAAAGTTCGATTACCTGTTCGCTATTTAAAGTACCGGCACCGGCACCGTTCAAAAAATCATAAGCGACCTTCGCAAAAAGAAAGCCCCAGGCGATGATCTCATCACCAACACGGCTCTTAAATTTCTCCCCAACAATATCTTACTAGCCCTAACGCAAATTATAAACAGCTCCTTCAGAATCTGCTACTTTCCACTTGCCTGGAAAAAAGCAGTCATAATTTCCATTCCCAAACCAGGCAAAGACCACAAACTACCCGTAAACTACCGCCCAATCGCTCTACTTTCCTCCCTATCAAAAATCTACGAACGACTCATACTCACTCACCTACAAAACATACTCCGAGACAAAATCCGCCCTGAACAGTTTGCCTTCAGAGCCGAACACTCTACTACCCAACAACTGACCAAACTCACTCACCAACTCAGCCAGAACTTTAACAACAACATAAACACCGCTTCTATATTTCTTGATGTGGAGAAAGCTTTCGACAGAGTCTGGCACGCCGGACTCCTATACAAACTTTCTCAACTCAACATCCCGACCGAAATCATTAAAATCATCGAATCCTTTCTCACCGACCGCACTTTTATCGCTAAAATCGAAGACTCTTTCTCGTCCACCAGACACATTCTCGCGGGCGTCCCTCAAGGATCCTGCCTATCACCAACTCTCTACTTGACCTACATAAACGACATTCCGACGACTTCAAAAGCTCATCTCTCGTTATTCGCCGACGACACGATGTTCTTTACTTTCGACCACAACCAAAAACGAGCAGCCATACAGTTACAACACCAACTTAACCTTGCAACCACATGGTTTCACCGATGGCGAATCAAAATAAACGCGACCAAAACTGTAGGTATCATTTTCGGACACTCAAATACCACCCACGTACCACCACTACTACTCGACAACCACTCCATTAACTGGTCCGACAAAGCAAAATACCTCGGCGTCACCATCGGGCGCAAACTCACTTTCGGCAAACATATACAAAACATCACCAAAAAGGCTACCCGCATCCGAGGTATGCTTTACCCCATACTAAACCGCACTAGCCCCGTCCCAACGACAACGAAACTTAACATACTTAAACTTTACGTCTCACCTATCCTAACGTACGCTGGCTCTTCTTGGGCACCCTTTATAGGACCCTCTCAATGGAACCGCATCGAATCCGTCCAAAACATCGGCATACGCACTATAACGCGTATGCCCACTATCGTTAGAAATTCGGTCCTTCTAAAATCGACAAATTTCAAATCTATTCAAAACTCCATTCGTTCCCAAACCAAATCAATGTTCTACAAAAATTCTTTCTCGAATCATGCTCACATCCGACTTCTAGGTAAAACACACCCTCCCCCAAATACTAATCGTAAATTGAAACCCTACCCACTCTCTTGGGCAGACCAATAAACCTAACCTTTCTTTTAAATTCCATCCACTAGTAGAGGCTAAGCCTGGAATAGGAAACGGCATAGCCATCCCTTTCAATGCAATGCAATGCTATTTAAAGTCTTCTTGGGTTTAGTTACGGAGGCATAATCCTTTTTAGTGGTAACTGCTTTTTGTGGTAGATTTGGTTGTGCTGCAGGGGATGGCGGGTTTGGCTGTGGAATTTTGGATAGCTTGGAACTTGCGGCTTGGGCAAGGTACGGACAACCACGGTAGTTTGCCGTGTGATTGCTACCACAGTTGCAACACGTTGGCTCTTGGTCAGCGGTTTTAGGGCATAAGCTGGCTTTGTGTTCACCTGAGCATTTTACACATCTAAGTGGGTGGGTACAGTTTGAAGAGCCGTGACCAGTGCGTTGACAAGCAAAACACTGGGAGGGGCCCGTTTTTTTGTAGGACTCAACAGTGACCTTCAAGAAGAATAGTTCAGAGATTTCATAATGTTTTTCGAATTTTGAGTGTTGCCAAGAATGACTAGGCATATTGGCATGGGTTTGTTGACAGGTCCGAAACGTTTCACAAGTTTAACGTCAAAATTTAACAGTTCGAGTTCGGATTTTAACTCATCAGTAGAAATGTCAGTGGGTATACCTCTTAACACTACTTTGAGGGTGCGCTCCTCTGGGAGTTTGGACGTTTTGAACATGATTTTTTGATCCAGGAGAGTTTTCTGGATTAGCCTGAAGTGATCAATCACATGGGTTTTAATAATTATAGATCCGTCAGAGGTTGCTTGCGCAGATATATTTTGTGGAGAGACGATGGCATTTCTGAATATGATCGGTGCAATTTTGCGCCAATCAGAAGATTTGCTTACAAAGATAGGTGGGATACGAACTGCGGGCTTTGCGTAATCTTGCTGTGATTCGTCTGAGTTGATTTGCTTCGGGTGGTTTTGAGTAGGGGATGGGCTGGGAGGATGGTTTGATAAAATCGACAAGGTAGAAGTAGAATCAGAAAAATATGACTCACCTGACATTTGCTCGTCGAATGATTCAGGAGAAGGAGCTTCTACGCGCTGTAGTTGAGCAGCATGTAACGGGGGTGGTGAGTAGGAATTATTTCGTGTTTTCTTCGAGTTTGAGACCGGAGGAGTCCGATTTCTTTTGGAACCGGCTTTGCGGCCGCCCATGGTGTTTCGTTGTTCAGAATGGTTCACTGCGAAGTTGTAGCGGACGTCAGCACAGAGCGAACACTATATAATGCATTGATATGATGATAATAATATGATAATTTTTGTATCATAGCGGTGGGTATATATTACCAAATCCAAACGACAAGTCGTTCGTTTATTGGTGTAAATACCATAATGATGACGATATAAATAGGATCGCCGATTAGTCCACAATAACTAAAAATAGGATTTTCTCCACAAGTACGTTTCATGATTATGTCCAATGAAAACAACATCGTTTGGTAATGAAAGTCAACCAAACGTTGTGACGTAGTACCGTAGTGTCGTTATCTCTGTCCAATCACAGAATTTTTATCCACATTTTTACTATATATACGAAAATTTCAGGCGGAATTCTGCATCAGTCTCATTCAGTATCGAATTTGAACCGTACCAAACACTATTACAATCATGAGCGGACGCGGCAAGGCAGGAAAATCGAAGGGAGGCAAATCCAAGACCAGGTCGTCCCGGGCCGGACTCCAGTTCCCGGTCGGACGTATCCATCGTCTGTTGAGGAAAGGAAACTACGCCGAACGTGTCGGAGCTGGAGCCCCGGTATACCTGGCCGCCGTCATGGAGTACTTGGCAGCTGAAGTTTTGGAGTTGGCCGGTAACGCCGCCCGTGACAACAAGAAGTCCCGTATCATCCCCAGACATTTACAATTGGCCATCAGGAATGACGAGGAGTTGAACAAATTGTTGTCCGGAGTAACCATCGCCCAAGGTGGTGTGTTGCCCAACATCCAAGCCGTGCTCTTGCCCAAGAAGACCGAGAAGAAGGCTTAACTCTGCTACCTTAAGGCGCGTCCACACTATGCCGATATATGCCATATATTCATTTTGCCATTTGGCTTTCTTTGATCCTGACCGACAGTCGACGGATACGGCTTGGCATGCCAGTTGGCAAAACTTTGCCAAATGGCCTGTGCCAACAAAAAGTCCACATCACCCTTGGCAATGCCATTTGGCAAAGCCATATGGCATAGTGTGGACGAGCCTTTACCCACCAAAACCACAGTTTAAAACGGCCCTTTTCAGGGCCACCAAAATTTAAAAGTAAACGTCTGTTCGGATATTTTTTCAGTGGACACACTAGATAGTAAAATGGAATGGAATGGTGTTTAGATTATAAAATGTAAAACGTCCACGACCACTCATAGTGTAGTACATTAGAGTACATAACATTAAACACGTATACGAATACAACTTAAGTATATCTGAGACGATAAATTATTATCACAATTAATGTCAAATTGATTTTATCACAGATATAGATAATAAACCACGTTTGAAATATTGGTAATGTTAAGCTCCTCAAGGTTTTGGGGCACCGGTTAAACTTATGTGATTATTTTGAAATGTTCTGTACACTATTTTTAACTCATATATTAGAACCAGAACCGCAGTCACTAAATTTAACATCCTACTATCCAGTAAATAAAAACAATTATAAGTTCATGGAAATGTGACAAACGCGGCAGAGAGGAGTTTCTGGGAGTCTTTTTATGGTAACATACCGAAATGATCAAAATTTACCAAATTTACGTATACTTTTCTCGGTAAATTACCAAAAAAAAAAATTTACATCTCTAAATCCAAATATACCACGATAGCGATTCTGAATTAAAGTGACTTAATTCCATTTCCTTCATATTTCGAGGAAGCCGTCACTTCTGGCGTTGAACCTAAAATCTTATTGAAAAAAAATTATCACATCGAAATTAATAAGGTACACTGTCGAAATGAGGTGGCTCATCGCCAAACATTCTAAACGCTAATTTCACTCAAATATGGCTACGCTGAGTCCACTGGCAGCTGTCCTTTACCAATTTATAGCTTGTGCACGTAGTGATAATGATAACGAATTGATAACCTGCGAGTGAGTCATAACGGTACTTAAGCATAAATGAGTAGCAAACCTGAAGTATCAAGCGTCTTAATACTTTCAACAAAAATCGAAAAATGTTTTTCCATATAAGTTAGACCATAGTGATGAGTTTTTTTTTTTTTATTCAAAATATTTTTTTAGCAATTGATTAACCCGTGTATTTTATAGTTACACCTATACGTGTTTTCATTGAATTTATATCATATTGTTGTAGGCATTAAGTTATATTAACTGTAAATAGACCAAAATATTTTAAATCCTCACAATGGCGATTGTTCAATTTTGGTTTGATTGTGACATCAAAAATAAGGCAGGAATTATCGAGGTAATCAGATGATTAGCTATAATTATACAATGAAATACAAAATATATTCTTAAGTACCTGCATTATTCTAATGTCTATTTTCGGTTATTTGACAAAATTACGACGCGATTAGGTACCTATCATGATTAGTGCCTAACTGTGTTGTAAATACCGTGGATGCGGGTATTACCGCCGATAACAAGAAATTTGGTAAAATCATTCTAAAAATAACCCATCGCAATTTAATTTTTATGTGTTGTTGTCTGTCGATCCGTGGTAATGAAAATATTAATATTAACACATGAGCGACTGAGTAAGCTATACCCAACCATATCATACCCGTCTACAATGTCAACATGGGTCTTTCGGAATTTATAATTAGACACTATCGGTATATTTTACTTAATTGAAGCCATGTAAACACCGATAATTCTTGATAATTACTGTCTGTTGATCGATTATCGGTAATAAAAATGTATTTATAACAATGTCATTGTTTACATGGTAAATGGCGTACCTATTTATCAAACTTTCCCAGAAAGCGTGACAAAAGGATCTATAAGTAAACAGACGATAGTCAGCTGGCTGTGTTATAATGTATGTTTTATACTTCGCGGTCTCGTGGATGTTGTTCCACTGTTGAATTATTCGATTCCCCGTCTTATAAATTTGGCCCGCGTTGTAATATTTGTTCTCCTATTCTGTAAAATATAATTATCAACTGAATTGTATTCATACAAATATTGGTATTAATAGCACACGCTGGCTGATAGTGTAATATCAACAATTAGGGATGGGTCGTTCGCGAACGATTCGTTCAATTTGAACGAATCAGTTCAGTGAACGAATTGATTCAGATTCGGAAAGTTAGAACGATTCGTTCACAAAATTAATTTCGTTCGTAACTTCACTTGAATCGGGACCGACTACGAATCATCAATATTCTAATATTATTACCAATGAATATGAATATATGATTCGTTATTTCGTTCACTGATTCAAGTCTAGTTCAGTCTCAAAGCAGCCGGCTGCACTGTTGCAGCTGTTCCCCGGCCAATCCATTATACAATTACCTACCTTGTGGTACCCACTATCAGTTAATATGACTGTGATGATAACTGATAAAATTTGGAGTACTATCCTAAATCATAATATAGTAATAATATGCAAGGCTGGGCATTAACGAGTTAATAAGTTAAAGTTAAGTTACTTTAACTAAGTTAATTAACGAGTTACTTTTTTTTTTAGAAGTAACTTCTAACTTAACGATTTACATTTTTCCCCATGTTATTCAGTAACTTAACGAGTTAATTAATTTTATTGGCACGTTAAGTTAATTTTTTCCCAAACCACATATTATTTAAAATTAATTCAATTTTGTAAAATTAATTACATAAAAAAAAACCCGAAATATTAAATATATTTTATTAAATAATAATTTATAATAATAATAGTAAGTTTTTATATTGCATATTCACAGAAAATATTTTATAACTATATTTTTAGAGGGAAATATCATAGAGATGACTCTAACCGCGTCAAAGAAAAATATAACAATTTACTCAGTACCTATCCCATACACGACATATCACCTAACCTATACCTAATCATTATTAATATCATTACTTATTATTATATTTTTATTCATTCATAGAATTACGGTGATAACTTGGCCCGTCGATGTAAATAATACCCGTAGTAGCGTGGTATTTACTATTTACCTAATTAAAGTATAATACACAAAATTAATATAAGTACCTACAGTAACTAATTTTATTACAAACATTTATTCAAATATTGTAAGACTACTAAGACATTTTTTGATTTATTGAATTATTATGTTATTTGTTAGCTTTAAAAAAGGTAGGTAGGTATAATTGTTAATTTTATTTTTAAAAAAAAAGTAACTTATTTTTAACTAAGTTAAGTTACTTTTATTTTCTAATTAACTTGTAACTTTTACAAGTTAAAACAAAAATGAATTTAAATTTTAACTTTAAACTTAACTTACATTTTTCTATATTAACTTAACTTAACGAGTTAAAAAAAATAGTTAACTTGCCCAGCCTTGATAATATGGATAGAGCCATTAATAAAATATATAATATAAAATATATCATCACCAATGATTCAAAATCGATTCATTTGTCATTTGATTATCATTATGCATGATAAGTGATAACTGAATGAAGTAATTCAACTCAGTTTATTGTATTGGTGAATCAAATGAATCAAATGAACGAATCATTTGAACGAATCAATTTACTGAATCGATTCAAATGATTCGAATCAGTATAATGATTCATTTTTCCCATCCCTATCAACAATTATCAATCTCCCTCCCGTCGCCAGAATACAAGTACATTTTGGTGGCCCTGAAAAGGGCCTTTTTAAGGTATGACAACTTATGACGACTATCAATTTAAGCACGTTCACCGCGGATACGACGGGCCAACTGGATGTCCTTTGGCATGATCGTGACACGCTTGGCGTGGATTGCACAGAGATTGGTGTCTTCGAACAGACCCACCAAGTATGCCTCGCTGGCTTCTTGCAACGCCATGACGGCGGAACTCTGGAAACGCAGGTCGGTCTTGAAGTCCTGGGCGATCTCGCGCACTAGACGTTGGAACGGCAATTTGCGGATCAAAAGTTCTGTGCTCTTCTGATAACGACGGATTTCACGGAGGGCAACGGTTCCCGGGCGGTAACGATGTGGCTTTTTCACTCCTCCGGTGGCGGGTGCGCTCTTACGTGCGGCTT